TCTGGGTGCAGTTCCAGCCTCACCAGACGGGATGGGACGAATAGGCCTGCTGTGCAGCCACAAGCAGGTGGAGAGATGGGAAGCAGTGGGGTGCGGGAGGGCAAGGAAGACACATGAGAAGGCAATGCAGGTGACACGGAGACACCCCAGGTAGTAGCAGCCATTGGGCAGACCTGATGCTGGTGGCCACAATGCCAGTGACACACTCCCTCCCCCCCTCCAGATCCCCAGCTCCCTATTCCCACCTGAGTACAGACCTGATTCAGAGGGGCTCAGAGTGCCCTGCGTGTGAGCTATGTGTGCCAGGTGGGTGGCAGGAGTGAGGGCAAGGGCAGCCCTGGCTTTCGGCCATGTGCAGGTATAAGGGGGCTCCATAAAGTCCATGAAAAAGTGCATGTTATAAAAACTGCAGGATTTCAAAATGTCTTATACCAAAATAAGCTCAGTTTAACTCCATTTTCTCACAAACTGTGTGAAGTCCCCTCTACGTGCACACGTGTGCTCGTGTTTGTGCATGTGTGTGTGCACGTGCACGTCAGCACCCAGCTAGGGCCCCTTCCACTGGTGCTTTTTAAGCAGAAGCAAACACCACTGAGAGGCCCCCAGGGATCGTCAGCATTCTGCCAGTGTGTGACACGTAAGAGGACAACGGGGGGAGGGGTGATGGGAGGTCTCGGCCCCACACCCTCATAAGTCAGAGCACAGTGGAGGGAAGAGAGCTGGATCTGGAGTCAGGAGAGACCAAGGCACCTGGACCCTGAAAGAGGCTCACTTCTCCTCACGGGTACACGGGGACACACAGCTGCTCCTGCCTCCCCCCCCACCCCAGGCCCCAGGGAGGGTGAGGGTCTTTGCAATGAAGCTAAGCCATCCTGGTGCAGGGCTTCAGGGGGGTAGGCACCCACCAGGTGCACACAGGGCCAACAGGAGGCACCTGCCTTCCCCCAGGGCGGTGGGCTCTGAGTGCGGGCTCTGGGTACAGGCTCTGCAGACCCCTCCCCTTCACACACTGCCTGCTTCTCTCCCTCTAGGCAAGCTGCCCATGGACTCTGCCCTCCCTGCCTCCGGATGCCAAGGCACCAGCTGCTGCCCCAGAGCCTGGCACGGCACTCACTGCAGCTGGCAAGGCCCAGTTTCCTGAGGCCACAGGGCAGCAAGACCGGTGGGGGCACGGGCAACATCGGGACGGCCTGAATCCCTCCCCTGTCTGCTCAGGGTGCCAGTGGGGAGGCCTAGAATGCACAGGTGAGCAATCTAGCCGAAGCAAGGAGTGGAGAAGAATAGTGATGTGGAGGGAGGCGGGGAAAATATGGACCATGGCGGGGACAGAAGGAAAAGTGACTCAGGGCTGTGAGGGAGAAGAGGTGACAAGCTATATGGACAAAGAAAAGGAGCCAGCCCTGAGGGGACAGGTAAAGGAAGCGGGAAGAGGGCCAGCAAGGAAAGGGGACAGAGACCTCCAGGGAATGAAAGCCAGGGCTTTCTGGGGCCTTACTGTTTCCATAGCAACCAGGCCTGCTGCCCAGCTCTGGCAGAGCCCAGGGGCTCAAGGACCAGAAAAGGGAATGTGTTTGACCTTGGGTTTGCCACATGTAGTAGTCCCTCCCCAAAGCCAGGCCTCCCCTCCCACTCCCTCACCTTCACTGCAGTCAAAGAAAATATCATTAAAGAGAGAGTCGAATAGAAAGAAAGGAAAGAATAAGGCAACCACGTGGAAAAGTGATGGGGACGGAACAAAAGAGGCCAGAAAAAAGGAGAGAGGCGGATCTGGGGCTGGACTGTGGCTGCCAAGGCAAAGGAAGAGATGAGACCACTCTTTGACTCCTGCACTCCTCGAGCTCAGCCTCGGGTCTGCAAGGACAGGAGGCAAGGCCAGTCCCTCTGAAGCCTGGGCCTACATAGGCTCCAGCTCCCTTTGCCGTCAGAGACCTGGCTAGGCCCAGGGATGGGAAGGGGCATTGAGCAGCCAAGAAGGCCTGGACAGATCGAGCAGACGAACAGAAAAGAGGTGAGCAAATGCTGAAAAGAAAACCCAAGGACGGAGAGAAGCAGAGAGCGAGAGCCTGCCTGAGGGTGCAGTAGGCTGGACTTGACAGACTGCTGGGGGACTGCAGGGATAAGGATGTGGGCAGCGGAGGGTGCTCAGCTCGGTGCAAACCAGGCCAGGGAACAAGCCCTGAGGCACCAGGGGGCGCTCTCCCCCACCTCGCGGTCTGGTGGAACGGGCGAACTACAACTCCCAGCAGCGCTTGAACAGCAATTACAACTCCTCAGTTCCTGGCACAGGAAGGTGGGTATACCTGACACTTGTTTACTTCCCGCAGTCTGTAGCCCCGCGAGCGTCCCCAGTGAAGCTGGATGTGGCTAGAGACGAGTTGTTGTGGTCCTGGGTTTCTAAGGACAGTGAGGGACAGAGCAGCTACCTCCTTTGGAGGCCCAGCTCAAAGCCCTCCTCTGGGAAGGTCTCCAGCCCCCCTCGGCCCCTCCCTGTTCCCCAGCACTACAGCTGTCTGTTCTGCTCATTTGGCACTCACTGCCTAGTAACATCTCGTACTGCTCCCTGGAGAGGAAGTGTAATGTGGGAAAGAAGACCTGGGCGCTGGTGCTGGCACCACCACCAGCTTTGTGACCTTGGCCAGCAGACAACAGCTCTGAGCCCCAGCTTTCTCCTCTGGAAAAAAGAGCTAATCATCAGCCTACCTCACTGGTTGCTGTGGGCATCTTAGAAAGAAACAGCCGGGCACAGCTTCCAAAACTACAAACTGTCCCACACCAATTCACGACTCTTGTGCTGGTATGCCACTTTCTGTACGTGTGTGCGCTCTGCCTTTGTAGTTCTCTCTCCCCCCTCCTCCCTCTCTTTCTCTCTGCAGCTCTCTCTTGATCAAGGAATAAATTAACTCCTCTAAACAAAATGCATGCTTTTCATTTTCTTTGCACGGACCAAACTTTATTGTAGTTATTCGTTAGAACATCGGTGAGGCCCTTGGGAACAGAGACCATTCACCCATTTAGAATAAATGTGTTGAGCACATGCCTCTGTACGTGCCCGGAGCTGTGGAAAGCACACTGGGTTATAGAAATAAAAACACCCAATCCCTGTCCTCAGGGGGCTCAGTCGAGCTGAGGAGGCAAACAGGTGAAGCCACAGTTTCCATGCAGTGTGAGGAGCCTTTTAATGGAAGCCCGTAAAGGGGACACTGGGAAGTGTTCTGAAGAGGTTAGCCCGGAGAGTTCAGGGACACTTCCAGTGGAGGGCCTGGCTGCTTTTACAGAGTCAGCTGAAAGAGACACCAAGTAGCTAGGCATGGGGCAGGGATGGCAGAAATCCAGGCAGACAGAATAGTAGGAACTAAAGAATAAGATGGGACTTGGTGGCCGAGTGCTTGGTACCCACGGGAGTTCCTGGAGGGGCTGTTAAACTGACCCGTAAAGATCTTTAGGGAAGAGATTCTCCTAAGAGAGGCAACCTCAGCACTGCAAAAGGACCTAAAGCCTAGAGCCCTTAGACAGGCTAGAAGGGCCCCATGCTGGTCTTAGGGGTTTTGGCCAGTGTCAGGTTCCCCATCTGCAAAACGAGTGCAGTAGCCCTCACCACAAAGGGTTGTGAAGGGTCATTTAGGTGGTGTACACAATACATACAGATTGTAGAGGCCACACCTCCCCACAGAATCCTGCCTGGGCTGGGCAGCTCTCAGGCTTCCAGAGTTTGCTGGGCCAATGGGAGATTGCCCTGCTGCCCAGTCTCCACCAGAGAAACAGACCCTTCCTAGAGAGCAGCCACAGAAAAGGCCATCTATGTTCTAGAAGAGGTCATCAGGACGAGCAGGCTTTGCAAAAGAAATAGGGATGGGTGACCATTTGCCCAGGGCGCCAAGGGTGCAGGCCTCAGAGAGGCTGCAAGGGGACGCATCCAGATGGACTCGGCTTCCCCTTAGGAAGTGCAGTTAGCCTGCAGAGAGGGGAGGGCTGGGCTCTGTGGGGACCACGGGGTCACTGACCTTTTGTCGGCAGGTGCACATCGCTGGCTCCTCCTCTCCCGGCCCCCCCCTCGGAGAACAGTAAGGACCCTACTGGAGAAGCAGAATTGGGGAGTCAGGCACAGGGGGCTGCCCAGCCAGTCCCGCCCCAGCCTTGAGGTGATGGAGGGCCCTCTCCAGGGCAGAGGAGCTGCTTGGCGGCACAGGTGAGGAGGGGCTTCTCCAGGGACTCACTCGTCTTCAGGACCTCTCCAGAGGGAGCCAGTTGACAAACCGAGAACCACCAGCCCCATAGACCCCTTCAGACTCATGACGACCACCAACTGCAGCCCATGCAGGAGCCCCCTGCCCTAGAGCAGACCACAGGCCAAGACCTGGAGCCCCCTGAGCTCCCGCTTCCAATCTCTTATTCATTCCGGACCCTCCTCCGTGAGGTTCGCCCTAGTCCCCACTCTGCATCTCTGCTCATGCCCTTGCTGCTGGATCAGAGTTC